CGGGCGTGCCCGTGCCCAGCTCTGCGGGAGGAGGTGGCCCCGGGACGGAAGCCGCGGAGACCGGGCGTGCGCGGCCGCCACTCGGGCGCCTTCCCCGGCGGGCCTGGGGGTGTCAGGCGAGGCGGAACCCTAGCCCCCACCCCACCCCCGGCCCGAGGGGACAAGGACTGCTGGCCCCGGTCGGGGTGTCGGGCACTGGGGACGCTCGTCACCATGACTGGGAAGCGCCGGGGCGGACCCTGGCTGCGGACGCGGAGGGCGCCTGCAGGTCCCCAGCTCTCGAGAAAATAAAGGACTCTGAGAGGCAGCCAGGGTTGCTGCAGCCTGGGGTCCTTCCGCGAGGACCGGCTGGAGAAGCAGGTGCTCGCTTTGCCTGTGGTTGGTCGCCCACAACAAAGGCGATTCCTGGAGATCCAAATTACAGGGTGCGGGAGACCGTGCGGGGTCTTATTTTCTGGGGGTAGGTTTTGTACCCTTCCCTAGAGTGCCCAGCAATCCGTTAAAGTCACCTTGACAAATTGGTCCTCCCACTCGATACCTACTGTGTGCTCGCATGCTTTTACACCTGGATACACATCAGTGACCAAGACTGCTAGGCATCCTGTGACTTGTAAAAAACAGTTCCGACTCTTCAGGCGCCAAGGGAAACGTTAAATTACCTGGAAGTGTACGGGGAGGGAATAGGACTAGATTTTTCAAATACCACAAGGGCTCTGTCACTTTGGGAGATACCTTGTCTCTTCCGTCCCCGTGACGACCTGAGACGCACCACACGGGGAAATAGAGGCTGCCCCACAGCTCTGCTCGCTCTACTACTGGCTCTGCCCGCAGGGAGGAGCTGCGCTTCTCCTCAGCAGCTGGGAGCAGGGGCCCCTGGCTCATGGGGTGCCAGATGGGACTGGGAGGTGGAGGGTTGCCAGGCCTGGAACACAAAGAGAAAAGATAGGGACCTGGCCTCCGCGTGTTTCTGTGTGTGGCTTCAAAAAAAGGGAGCTGGGAGTGCAACTCCCTGGGTTCAATCTCCACTGCCATCAAAAACAAAAACAAAAATTTTTAAGGGTAAAGCAGCCTGTTTTAAAGGAAAAGAAACCTTCCTGCCCCTCTAGGACTAAGGAACCTTGTGCTTTATTTCAATTTAGTTTCTAATTACAAAAGTGACCATCACTGTGAGACTCTTTGCTATGTCCTTCTAGTACTCTTTATATGTGTATAAAGAGGAAATTCTGTTTGTTCCCAAAAGAAAGGTACCCAGGCACCTGGAGCCACTTTTAACAACCCACCCCCACCCCCACCTCGCCTACAATCCTGCACACCTCCAGGAGAGCCCTGGGCTCCACAGTTGCAGCACTCAGCTCATCACCCACAGCTTGGTGCTCAGCCAGATCCCAGGAAGAGACAGCTGGGCTGGTCAGACAGTCTCCGAGACAAGAGCCTCAGCCCTAGCCGGAAGTGATGGTGTGCATGGGTAGTCCTAGCACTCTGGAGGCTGAGGCAGGAGTATTTTGATTTCGAGGCCAGCTTGGGCAATTTAGCCAGAACTTGCCTCAAAATAAAACCTTAGAAAGGGCTCAATGGTAGAGACCATATTGGAGAGCCTTTGTTCAATGCCTGGTACAAAAAAAAAAAAAAAAAATTACCTGAGTTATTCCCAAGTGCCTCGCCCTGGGATGCAAATAGAGCTGGGGATGTAGTTCCGTGGTACAGTGGTCACAAACAAGAAAGACCTTGAGTTCCACTCCTAGCCCTGCTAGGAAGCATCAAAATAGCCTGGGGGGGTCTACGCCTCCTCCCCAGGAACAGGAGGAGCAGGGTGAAGAAGCACCAATCAAAAGCAGTCCGTGCTTTTGCCTTTGTGGGTGTCCTCCTCTATTAGAAATTTTACAAGAATTTAACACGTCTTTATGTGAAAATTAACACATTTTCTTTGACCCTTAAATTTAATTATTTTCTTCTGATTGTAAAATAAAACATTTTTGTGTGGCCAGTGATTTTGTGTGGTGTAGTGATGCAAGCCTGCTATCCCAGCATTCTGGAGGCTGAGGCAGGAGGATCACT